TGTGTGTGTGTGTGTGTGTGTGTGTGTGTGTGTGTCTGTGTGTGTGTCTGTGTGTGTCTGGGGGAGGTGAAGGTAACAGCAGCAATCAGAGCTGCCAGAGGGCGTTCCCTAGAGACAAATCAAACATGAATGACCCCTTACATCAGCTGGTCCGAGTGTGTGTGTGTGTGTGTGTGTGTGTGTGTGTGTGTGTGTGTGTTTGCATGTCTTTCTGTGGTTGTGAGGGTTGGTGATGGGTGAGAGGGGAGGGATTGCCCCCCCCCAGTTGTGTTGATGTATGATGTGATGGTGACTCCCTCTCAACTCCCCCCTGCTCATCCCTTCAATCAGCCATAGCTGAACCCTGGAAGACAGATGAAGTGTGTGTGTGTGTGTGTGTGTGTGTGTGTGTGTGTGTGTGTGTGTGTGTTCTTTTAAAAGGCTACAAACCAATCAGAGTCAAGTACAGGTAGACTCCGCCCACGTAGGCGATGATGACAGGACGTGCGTCAGACACAATCCTTTCGTCCTTAAATTACAAAGTGAAACTCAAACTATCAGATGAAACAACATGAAGCTTCAGACGTTCCGTGTGGAAACGACCGGAGAACTCGTCAACTGAACTTTAAAAATTATTCAAGCGACCGTTCGTAACCTTCATCTTTTTCTCTTCTTCTGTTTTTCAGGCATCGTGCTCGCTGACATCATCGAGATGTACTTTGTGTCACCGACCCTCTTCCGAGTGATACGATTGGCTCGTATTGGACGTATCCTGCGTCTCATCAGAGGAGCAAAGGGCATCCGGACATTACTGTTCGCCCTCATGATGTCTCTTCCTGCTCTTTTCAACATCGGGCTCCTCCTGTTCCTGGTCATGTTCATCTACGCCATCTTCGGCATGGCCAACTTCGCCTATGTGAAGCGGCAGGCGGGAATCGATGACATGTTTAACTTTGAGACGTTCGGGAACAGTATGATCTGCTTGTTCCAGATCACCACCTCCGCCGGGTGGGACAGTCTGCTCAGCCCCATCCTCAACAACTCCCCTGAGGAGTGCAATCCCCACATCCCCCACACCGGCACCACGGTCAAGGGGAACTGTGGGAACCCGTCTGTGGGCATCACCTTCTTCGTCACTTACATCATCATCTCCTTCCTCATCGTGGTGAACATGTACATCGCCATCATCCTGGAGAACTTCAGCGTGGCCACAGAGGAGAGCACGGAGCCACTGAGCGAGGACGACTTCGAGATGTTCTATGAGGTTTGGGAGAAATTCGACCCGGAGGCGACACAGTTCATCGAGTACGCCAAACTGTCCGACTTTGCCGACTCGCTGTCGGAGCCGCTGCGCATCAGCAAACCCAACAAGATCAAGCTTATCTCCATGGACCTACCCATGGTCAGTGGGGATAAGATCCACTGCCTGGACATCCTCTTCGCCTTCACCAAGCGAGTCCTGGGTGAGTCGGGCGAGATGGACGCCCTCAAGCAGCAGATGGAGGAGAAGTTCATGATGGCCAACCCTTCCAAGATCTCCTATGAGCCAATCACAACAACTCTGAGGCGGAAACAGGAAGACGTCTCCGCCACCGTGATCCAGAGGTGCTACCGCAGACACTTGGTGAGGCGGCAGATGAAGGCCGCCTCCTACTTGTACCGTCAGATCACAACACCTCGACATGCAGGCGCCGTCTGTGAAGAAGGTGGCGAGGGAGTATTTGGGGAAGACGCACCTGAGAAGGAAGGGCTGATCGCCGCCATGATGAGGGAAAACTACGGCTCAAGTTTGTTAGGGATGGAGCACTCGGAGACGATTTCCTCCACCTCCTCTCCGCCATCTTACGACAGCGTGACGCGAGCCACGTCCGAAATATTTCATCCGCTTGTTGTCAACACAGGAACCGTTGTTGTTGACACTGCAGGCGGCGAACCGAGCGAACAGTCGCCAGCTGTGGTCGACCCGGACAAGCGGCAGGAAGCGGTTCCATAGCCGGAACCGAAAAAGCAAAAAAGTATCAGACGTGGATTTTCTCGTTCGGGTGAATTCTGTTTGTTCTGTCGTTTGCTGAATGTACCACAGCGGGGGAACGCTGAAGAGGCGCCACACGGAAGCTGCGAGGAACCGCAGGAGTCGAGCGAAAGAGCAAACAAAGTGGAATATTTCCGAGCGTGTTATTTCCGGTTCCCTGCGGAGATTCCTGGACCCGAGGGCGAGTTTCTTCACAGGGAAACAGACAAACTGCAGAGGAGCTGGAGTAAGAGACCGAAGCGTAGAGAAGAACCACCTCTGGATCCCTTTGACCTTTTGGGTCTCTCGTGTTTTCAGGACATTGACTGACCTTTGACCTCAGCTACACGGGTCAGAGCAACTATATCACAGATGTATCCATCATTTATTGGCCTGGGGGGGTTGTGCCTCCCCACAGATGATCCATATGCTCAGAGTTAGCCCGGCTGTACGAGCGTTCCCGGCGGTGTTTCCCAACACGTTAACGCTCGGCGGTTTTCTGACCGAGACTCGAGAGAGGAGGGAAAACAATGAACGTAATTTTAAAAATGTTTTCGTAGTAAAAGTATAACTTTGTTGATGTTACCAGTCTTTTAATAGCGGTACGATTATTACTATTTTTTATATTTTTTAGAGTAAGTTGAAGAAAACAATACGCAGTCTCCCTCTTTTGACTTCGGAGCGGCGCTGGCTGTGAAAAAGTGACTGAAGAACCACGTTGTAATAGACGAGAGAAGAGAAGGAAAAAAAAATCTCAGAGACCTGAGAAGCAACTTTTTCTTTTAGAAGTTTTGCACTTTTGAGTTTGCGTCACTTTAACACATCTGGATCACGTCACATCGGATCGGAGCCGGGGATGTTTTTATTTCTTTCTTCTGAAAACACCAAAATTCTAAAAGTGCACGTTGAGATTTCTCGTAAAAAATTTGACTTTAGTCTCATGAAATGACATCTTTGTTGTGTCACAGCTTTTCATCGTCATAAAATTATAACTTGATTCTCATAAAACTACAACTTAGGTCTTTTAAAGTTTGATGATGATGTCACTGTATTAACGATACGTCACCATTTTCTTTGGACAAATCGCCCAACGCCAACTCTCCGTTTGGCTCCGCCCACATAAGATTGTAAGTTCTGTGTGTTGTGAACGACCCCCGACCAGAGTGCGACAATCAACTCAGCACACGAGCGTCACGATTTCAGTTCTCACTCATCCTTCGATCAGCGTCCTGGACACGAACCGACGCTTCTTGTTTCAAGAACATTTGAGATTCTTCACGTCTGAAGCGATTTATTTATAACTTCATGAAAACTTTTATCAAACAAAGTGGACGAAGTGCTGCGACACGTTTCAGAGGCCGAAGAGTCCACGTTTGTAATAAATCAGACGCTGACACTGAAAACTTTTTCTCGTGACAGTTTGAAAAGCCGAGCCGGTCGTTTCCAGGACACCGACGCTTCTTCACTTCCTGTTTTCACCTCATGATGTGAAGAGTTTCATTTTAAAACAATCTGATGCATGATTTGACCAAAGTTACTTTTCTGGTGCAAAAGATATAAAAGAAAAATAAAAGAAAACATAAAACATCTGGAGTTTAAAAAGAAACTCTTCAAACCACATCACAGTTTTATTTATGTATTTATTTATTTATTTATTTATTCGATGATCGAGTTCTTCTGGTCGACGGCTTTATGAGCTTTTTTATTCTATTGTAGGGTCGACCTCACCCTCACCCTCACCCTGATCCTGATCCTCACCCTGATCCTCACCCTCACCCTGATCCTCACC